AATTTAGAATCATTGCACTATCCCAGGTCTCTATTCCAATACAGCCAAGTCCCACACTATATGTGGGGGCTCACAATTGCATATGTGGACATGTCAGGGCTTTTAAACTCCAACCATACTAAGTAGCTGTTCCTTAGACCTTGAGTGTATACCCACACCGTCGCCATCCCTTCAGAAGGTGTACCTGAGCCTACACAGCCATCCCTTCAGAAGGTGTACCTGAGCCGGAGAAAAGGGCCCACACAGGCCCTGGAGGCAAGCCAAGGCCCATGGGTAAGGAGTTGCAGAGCCGAGGATGCTGTAAAGTAGTTTGAAGAGCACACAGGTTCTGCATAGCACAGAATGGGCGCATCCCATCAGCCCACATACTCCTTGCCCCCCAGGCATAACAGAGCCAAGGAAGGCCAAAAGGAGGCCAGTTAAGGGCCTTCATTTCCAAGTTTAAGGGCAGTGCTATAGACAAGACTGTCTTGTTCTCCAACCCAACCACATGATGCCAACTTGACGTGATACTTGGGTACTAGTCCACTTTCTGTTAGCGTGAAAAAGTACCAGATATAATCAACTTAAAGGGAAGAAAGGTGGAGATGGAGTCGAGATCATCACACCCGAGGCCTCCTCGTTACAAAGGGAAAACACAAAGGGAGGATATGTTTATTTAGTTCATGGTTCCAGAATCCGTAGTCACTTGGCTCTGTCGAGTTGAGCCTGTGGTGGACAGTGGCTCATGGCAGAAGTACACAGGGGGAAAAAAAAGAAGCTGTTTATTTCATGGTGGCCAAGAAGCAAGTGTAAGACAATGGGCTGAGGGTTCCAATATCCCCATCAAGGGCATGCCCCAGTGGCCTAGGTCCAACCTTTCAATTGCTCCACCTCTTCCCCAGAGTGTCACAGGCTGGCAGCCAAGCCTTTAACACCTGGGCCCTGTGGACACTTACCAGAATGTAGACGTGCCCTTTGCTTTACAAGCTAGCAAGCACGTTCTCATATACACATCCAAGCCCCATGGTTTCTCACAGGCTGAACCTTGAGAGAAGAGAAAACTTAGACACAGCGACTTGCCTGAAATCATGCAGTTGAAACATACACACTGTTGGGTCCTCCGGGGCAACTTTTCCTTCCAAAGGTCAAAGGTCGTGCTCTTCCCACTGCTCCACACTGTCAGGCCTCCCCCAGCTTCCTAGAGAAAACTGTAACTAACACTCCCGAAAGAAGACCAGAGTGGGGGAAGGCAAGCTAACATCAAATGCAGGGCAGTTTCTGGGAAAGCGTCTGGACCTAAGGCGACAGACACTCATCACCGGGACAAAGCCCGCTCTATAGGGGTAAACTATCCTCGCTGAATCCTGGGGGGCGCCATTCCCACCCCAAACCACAAAATGAGAGGCTTCAACACATTTAAGCAGTCTCCACCCAAATTCCACACCAATTACATGGGGGGGCTGAGCCCACGGCCCCTCCTTCTCTCGACCACTCTGCTGAAAATACTGTATTAATCAGAAGGCAGAATAAAGCCACAGGGCTTCGTCCTCTGGGAGACAACCCAGGCAAGCGGCCCGGCACCAGCCACACGTGAAGCCTGACCCTCCTCCAGTGAGGACCCACCGAGGCTACGCCTCCCCTCTAATCGCCAGAGTGTCTGGCTCAGAGCCTGGACAGTTGTGTGGAGAACCGTTTGCCTGGCCCTAGCACGGGTGTGTGAGGCTGGGGCTGCGGCACTGTCGGCTACAAACTAGCTCCGTGAAGCGGCCTCCTCTTCACCTCATTGTCCCTGGATTGCTAAGGGTGGCAGCCTTCTCTGCACCCCCGAGCTCGGCAGCAACATGTCGCTCGCCCACACCGCGGCAGAGTATATGCTCTCTGATGCCCTGCTACCTGACCGCAGGGGCTCTCGCCTCAAGGGACTGCGCCTGGAACTGCCCCTGGACAAGATGCTCAAGTTTGTTACGGTGGGCTTCCCCTTGCTGCTGATGTCTCTGGCCTTTGCCCAGGAGTTCTCATCAGGTAAGAGACCTGACTTCATTCCACCCTACACCCGGGAGAAAGCGAGAGCCAGCTCCTGACTTAAGTGGGTTTCTTGGCTTTGGGTTGGACGGGATTCCCAAGAGGCAGGTCATGAGAGAGTCTAATGCACTCGCAAGGCAGAAATCATACAATAAAAATAATAGTTCAGGGGGCGGGGGCTGGATGGAGTAAGGGTGGAGAGTATGAAGGAGAGAATATGCTCAACATACTATAATATACCTGAAACTAAGAAACTAAATACAATTTAAAATAGCAGGTGTCACTTTAGCAGTCCTACATTTTAAGTCAAATCAATGATAAAACTATCGTTTTGGTTTCTATAGCTACGAGAGGTTGGGACTCTGTCATCTTTTCAGAACCTGAAGCCCCTCCCTCTTAGCCCACTTTGAACAAACTCTTCTTCCTCCTGGGCCCTCTTCTCACCCACCCCCACTTGCAGAGTTGATACAGCCTGGTTTGGAGGCGCTCAACAAACCCCTGCTTCTCCTCCATGACCCTAGACGTAAACAGACACTAACACGCCTGTTTGTAATGTTGTAAGCACTGTTTAACTCGGAAAGCCTGCTGCTCCCTCTACTGTGGTCACCTGGGCCCTTGTTTCCTTTTCTGTCTGTGCCCATTAGCCTACTGCATTTCCCGATGAAATGTTCCTCCTCTCTCTGTTCCTCACCTGCAAGAATGGAACAGGACTGGTTCGCAGCTCCGCCACTTTCTGATAAGAAACAGGAAAGCTAGGTCCTCTCCTTCAAAGCCTGTTTTCCTTTCCATGTAGGAATCCAGGCAATATCATCCGCTCTGTACAAAGCAAAAGAGCCATCTTTTAATCTGGGTATGGTGCACACACCTGTAATCCCAGCGTTCTGGAGCCTGAGGCAGGAGGATGACAAGCCTAAAGTCAACCTGAGACACATAGTGAGACTCTGTCTCAAAACTAAGCAATGCCAACAAGATGGCTCAGCAGATAAAGGCACTTCCTGCCAAGTCTGCTAACCTGAGTTCAGGCCCAGGACACACATGATGGAGCTATGAAACCACAGTGGAAGGGCAGAAGCGGTTTATACACGTTGCCTTCTGGCCCCCATGAGTATGGCACAGCCCACGCACACACATGATACACACATAGAATAATTCCAAAAGTACATTTTAGACAATGTCATCTCTCTGCTGGGTGGTGGTAGCACAGCCTTTAATCCAAGCATTCAAGGAGGCAGAGGCAGGCGGATCTATCCTAGTTCAAGGCCAGCCTGGTCTACAGAGTGAGTTCCAGGGCAGCCAGAACTAAAAGAGAAACCCTGTCTCAAAAAAAAGGGGGGGGATGTCATCTTTTTTAAGTGGAAATGTCACTATCAAATGCCAAGCCTTCTGATGGCAAACTGCTGAGTTCAAGGAGTCTCTGGTAGCTCCCTGTGGGGGGGAACAGGGGGAGGACGGGGGACGGGACTTGAGAGTAAAAGCCCGTCAGACCTAAAAGACCAAGTCAGTTCGTGTTTGCATGGGCCCAACTGTGTGTGCTATCCGTCATGACCTGCCTTCCCATGACCCAGCAGTACAGGGCCCAGAAAGCTGAGACTCGGGAAGAAAACAAGGCCTGCCAGCCACAGAAGTTACCAAGTAGTAAGGATGTCCCTCACCCAGAAAACTCTCGGATGATTTCCATCCCTCTGCTGCAACCAAGGCCGACTCAACGTTCTGCTCCTCTTGCAGGGTCTCCCATCAGCTGCTTCTCTCCCAGCAACTTCAGTGTCAGACAGGCGGCCTATGTGGACAGCTCCTGCTGGGACTCACTGGCTCACCATAAGCAGGACGAGGCCGGCCAGTACAAGGTGAAGTCTCTCTGGCCTCACAAGGTAAAACAGACAAAGGCCCTATCAGGATGGCTTCCTGGCTTGGGAGTCAGGGGTAGACTGAGCCACCAAACTCCTCCCACTGAACTCCAGCCATGCCCACCACGCTCCCTGCCACCTCACTCTGTCCTCGCCCGTTCATTTTGGCAGCTGACTTTCATAGTCCAGGAGTTCTTCAAATGCCTGCTGGTGTCTGGTTGCCAGCTTTCATCTGACTGGGAGTTTTGTGCCTGTGGGTGAGGCTTGTTGACAAGCAGTTTTAGGTGAAGGGGATCCCGCTGGTACACTTTACTGGAAAGAAACTCAAGTATCAGTATCTAGTCCTATCCCAGGATTATCTGTTATCTCTGAGAAGAGTCATTCGGTCCTTAACTTGAGGAGAGGGCTAGAATACAGCCAGAATCAAGTCTGACTGCTGGTCCTCATGGAACCCGGCCACGGGCCCTACCATTTAGTACTCATTCAGCCATGGATCCCACCATTTAGTATTTCATTCCTCACCCCCCTCAGGATAGTTCTGCCCACAGTAGACTCATGCATAGAGTGGCTTAGTCTCTCCAGAGACAAAACTCCGAGCCTTCCATCAGGAATGGGAAAGGGTGGTTGCTTGGATACTGTACATTACAGAAAAATCCGCAGGTCTGCATCTCACACCGACTTTTCAGTATCCTGGTTCAAACTAACTTATTTATACTCTTGCTTTTCAGTTTCATCCATCCCCTTGATTCCTGGGTCTTTCTGGTTCTGAGTTGCAAATCGTTTGTTCTTGTCTGGACTCCCTGCTTTCCCCCCACACCATGTCTTGCATCAGGCAGCTGACCCCCAGCTCTCAATATTTTGCTGCTTTTGTCTCCTCCTCTCCTGCTCACTTTGTGCTGAAATTTTTTTCTTTGCTCTTTCTTGTCATCCCAGAAGGCAAAATCAAAGACTTAGTGGAGAAGTCCACAGAGCCTCTGTCACTGGCAGGTCAGCAGGCCAAGACAGTGACAAGTCCACAGATTGGGAGGTCAAAATGCCTGAGCATCAGTGTCACCAGGATTATTTGGCTCCACCCCATTGCTAGGAACACACTCTTTAGAAGTGAAGGCCTCATTTTCAGGGGGTGTTATTTCTTGAATAGGAGTAAAATGGTTATAATCCCACTTGACGCCCCAGTTTACCTATTCTAGTCTTTTTTTTTGTAGTTCTGAAAACATACGGACAGACAGACAGACAGACAGACAGACACACACACACACACACACACACACACACACACACCAGATGTACTCTCCATCTTTTCCTCTAAACTTGCCACTACAAAGACAAAGCACCCCAGAAGAAGTTGCAGGTCATGATGAGGGGTCATCAGGAGAATAAGCTCCTAAGTCTTCCATCCTGGCTCCAGATCTCTGTCCTTCCACCTGCCGGGTGTGTGGTGCTGTGCAGATGCATGACTTGGTCATAATGCAGTGCCCCTGCTATAAAATAGACACAGGGATGGCACCCCACCAATTAGCATACTTGTGAAAACCAAGTGAAATAATGCATCCTATGTACCTAGCAACAAAGGTAGATTCACAAATCCTTCATAAGTAGAGAGTGTGCCGTGAATAAAAAAGATGACTCTGCCTCTGTTAGATGCATAAGTATAAAGAAAACTCAAGGGAAGGCCCTATCCACCCTGCCAGGGCCACCATAACAAAGAGCAATCTAAACAATGGAAACATAAGGGGTCAGCAGGTTGGCTCCTCTGAGGGATGCAAGAAATAGATCTAACTCTTCTGTTTGGCTCATAGACACATCACCCTGGATATTCTTCATGTATACATGCCTATCTTCATATGAGGGGTTGGAGCATCTTTAAAAACACCAGTATAGCTGAGAAGACAAGATCTACACATTCCTAAAGGTCCATTTCACTATCAGCATGCCTGAAATGAACCCCATATAATTCCAAGAGAATGTCTGGTGGTGTCATTCAACGTTGTTGAGGATTCAGAGACTAGAAAAGACCAACATAGGGCAGGGTACATAGAAGAAAACATTTTCTCTCCCCTAGGATGTCAGAGCCACTGTTGATCAGAATCTCAGCTAGATATTCAGTCTGCACTGTTGAGTCAGAAGAAGCAGATATCTCTCTACCAGACACTTTCTATCCCCTATCCCTCTTCTGCTTCCATTTTTTCTCTTCTCCTTGGAGCCCCAGATAGATCATAGGTCAGAAAACCCGTAGACCATGGATCTAGGTAACATGGAGCTATTATGTCCCTTCTCTACCAGCCTCACTATATTATTCCACATGGGCAGAGAGCTTTGGGTAGTCAACTATATACACTCTCTTCCCTTCTGAAGTGGGAAGAGGAGAGCAGTGAAGCCCCACTTAGCTCTCATTCAAGGCCCAGCAGCCCGGGCTCCCTCCTCAGCCTTGTGCTCCTTGCAGGCTCTCCCCTACTCTCTACTGGCCCTGGCTGTGGCCATGTATCTGCCAGTGCTGCTGTGGCAATATGCAGCTGTGCCCGCCCTCAGCTCTGACCTGCTGTTCATCATCAGCGAACTTGACAAGTCCTACAACCGCTCCATCCGCCTGGTGCAGCACATGTTGAAGATCCGGCAGAAGAGCTCCGACCCCCACGTCTTCTGGGATGAGCTAGAGAAGTGAGTTGCCCACTCTAGGTTTTTCTAAAGGACTCTGTGGAGCATTAAATTGATACCCATGCAGAATCATCTTCATATTTTCTCTATGCCATCCTTCTCAATAGAGCAAAGTACTCAGTTCATCCCTTCATTCTTGGAGGGGATGAACCTTCTTCTCATTCCTGTAGAGAGAAGAAGACTCTGCCTCTAGTTTACAGATGAACACACTGAGCCACAGGAATTAATAGCTCTAAAATATTTGTTTACTATTGGCTTGCTCAGAAACCTCAGTTAACTCCCTCTATGCTTAGCAAAAATGTTGGAAGTCTCAAATATCTATCCAAGGCCTCATGCACAATGTCAACTACTTTTCAAACTTCTAGTTACAATTTGAGCATTCCTAACCTCCAAATTGCCCAGTGCTCAAAAATCCAGTGTTTTAAAGATATCATTGGTAAAGTCTTTCAAGTATTCCAAAATAAAAATATAAACCCCACCAAAATCTGAAACACTCCCAGACCCCAAAGATTTAGGATATGGGATATTTAACCTAGCCTAGACAACAAAAACCTTCTGTTTTGTCTAAGTACTTTCCCCCTTATCCTTGAGCAAATCATTGATGGAATTAGTCATTTATCTCTGAGTACCAGTCTTCTTAGATTGTGTGTGTGTGTGTGTGTGTGTGTGTGTGTGTGTGTGCGCGCGTGCGCGCGCGCGCGCATGTGTATGCTGATGTTCAGGACAGGGGACAAAGGAAATGAAGCTATACTTACCAGTGTGGAGTTAAGAGTCTGTTGAAGAGGGCTGGAGAGATGGCTCAGCCGTTAAAGGCTAGGCTCACAACCAAAAAATATAAGAGTCTATTGAAGGAAAGCAGGCAGCAAGTAGGCAAAGTACACACATAAAATATGTCTTCATAGATGACAAACAGTCTGAACGAGGAAAAAGTAACGGGAAGGGAGCAAGAAAGCTCAGAGAAAAGGTTGGTGCAGTTTTTAAATGGCTCTGGCATAGCCAGTGGGCACCGCCGAAAGGTGAGTTTACCTAAGATTTGTGATCGATTATAATCTGTCTCATGTTCACGTGCATGCAATGTCCTCTCAAAAATGTTCCTTTCTACCATTTGGGAACCCATAGTTAAGCCAATATTCTCTCTCATGGTTTCTGAACACTCTAACTTACACTGTTACTCCATCTCCCAATATTCACAACTACTATGATTTATGTGCATTTAGCAACAAGCATTAATTGGGCTTATCTTATCTGCCTTTCCCCTCAAGGCAGACACTAAAGCTTCCTCAAAGCAGAGACAGGCTTACTCGTACCTCACCAGCTCGGCTTTCAACAACAGTGTTGATGTATTAATTTGCATAAAATGAATGAACTGACCTCAAAATCAAACTCAAAACACAGAATTCCATTATATACATTCCCAATCATAAGCTTATTGATTTGTAAATCCTACTTCGGCTTTGAGCTTCAGTTAACCTTGCTGGGCAGAAACTCACTTGGAGTGTGACCATTCATGGTTTATTGATCATCCCTGGATTTAAGACACTATATTTAATGTTTGGAGAACTGAGGAGTACTCACACACCTCCTCTGGGTGAAGAACTGTGGTTATGATTAGGGAGGGAATACAGATTTTCATAGATACTAAAAATGTCATGTTTGGGGCTGGAGAGATGGATCAGCAGTTACAAGTTCTGGCTGCTCTTACAGAAGACTAGAGTTAGACTCTTAGCACTCACATGGCTGCTCACAACATCTGTAACTCCAGTCCCAGGGGCTCCTATGCCTTCTTCTGGCTTCTGCAGGTGATGTGTGCATGTAGTGCACCAACAGATGTTGCAGGCTAACCACCCATGCATGTAAAATAAAAATAGAGTTTAAAAATTAATGCCATGTTATATACACAGACCAACTAGTCTCCCCCATGACTTTTGGGGTGTGGTTCTAAATGATGCTTCCTAACAGTGCCTTCTTTCTTCGCTTCCCCAGGGCCCGGAAAGAACGGTACTTTGAATTCCCCTTGCTAGAGCGGTATCTGGCGTGCAAGCAGCGCTCCCATTCACTGGTGGCCACCTACCTCCTGAGGAACTCCCTCTTACTCCTCTTCACCTCAGCCACTTACTTATACCTTGGCCACTTCCATTTAGATGTCTTATTCCAAGAAGAATTCAGCTGCTCCATCAAGACAGGGCTGCTACATGATGAGACCCATGTGCCAGATCTGATCACATGCAGGCTGACTTCCCTGTCTGTTTTCCAGATTGTAAGTCTGTCCAGTGCAACAGTATACACCATACTGGTTCCAGTGATAATCTACAACCTTACACGGCTATGTCGGTGGGACAAACGACTCCTCTCCATCTATGAGATGCTCCCAGCTTTTGATCTCCTCAGTAGAAAGATGCTGGGATGCCCCATTAATGACCTCAATGTGATCCTTCTTTTCCTCCGAGCTAACATCTCTGAGCTCATCTCTTTTAGCTGGCTGAGTGTCTTATGTGTGTTGAAGGACACAACCACCCAAAAACACAACATTGACACAGTAGTCGATTTTATGACTCTATTGGCCGGGCTAGAACCCTCAAAACCTAAACATCTCACCCAACAGGTATGTGATGAACACCCATAGTTAAGAAAGGAACCATGGAGAGATGAGTTTTGTCTAAAGTAACTCTCCTTCTTCACAAGCTGTACAGAGTAAAAGACAAAAAAAAATAATAAAGATGATGGTGATGATAATGATGATGATGATGATGATGATGATATTCACTTAAAATCGATTAAGATTGGATTAGGCTGAATATCCTATATTTATAAGAAGATAGAATCAGTGCATGAAAATTCAATGTGAAAAAGTCTAGAAAAGAGTCAAAGATCTGAAAAATTAGGTCTAGAGCATTCTGAGGACAGTGACACTGAATAAATTGAAGTCTAGACACTGAACACAGAAAGATTCTAAAGGCCATTTATGAAGGAAAGTTCTCACAATGTCTACTCACTCTAGGAGTCATGATTGCTTCACCCCAATGAGCAAGTAGAACAATTTAGTAAGAGATTAATAAGGCTATGAAACCCCTAGAAACACTTTGATTTTGCTTGTCATCTTGCTCTGTAGACATCTTCAGCCTTGCCAAGCCCTCCATGGCCAGCAAAGTGAGACAACTTAACTTGTAATCTGCTCTTGGGATGTAAGGACAGAAGAAAAGGCCATGAACAGAATCTTTAAGAATCAAATACACTTTTTATTATATAAACTAAAGCTTCTTTTCCACAAGAGCTCAGATTATGGACTACAAACATTTTCATAAATCTTAATAGTTCAAGGAATACTACACCTTCACTTACACCCAACAACTGAAGGCCAGTAGATTAAGGGGCTTGCCGCCAAGCCTGATGACCTAAATTCAATCCTGGGACCCAAATGGTAGAAGAAGAGAACCGACTCCTACAAGTTATTTTCTGATCTCCACATGCAATTAAATAAATAAATAAATAAATAAATAAATGTTAAACATGAAAGTCACATTGGTTCACTTCTGTATATTCTCCAATTCACGAGTCCATCCTTGCATCTAACTACCAAAGCTTTGCTCTGATTCCATAGGCTGTGCTTTACCCACAGTACCATGGTGTCTCTTAATGAACATTTTTAAGCTGTATGTTATATATTTCTTGAGAGAATTTTTATACAAGCCATTTAGATTCTTCTTCATATAGGTGAGTAGAAAAGCCATGTTGCTTCTGACAAATTAAGGTAAAGCAGGCTAAGATCTTATAGATGCTTACTGATGACATTAATAAAAGTCCAACTGCCCAGTGTGTATAGAAGCCTTTCGTGATCTACGCTGCCTACTGCTCCATTCTCTGCTCTTGCTTCCCCATTAGGTAAAAAGATGGCCATGAGTGGTGGAGCAGGGAGAAAAGAGGCCTAGAAGACAGCCCAAGCATGTTTGTACAACTTAACAAACTGCTTTAAAACTCTGCTCTCGGCTTTTAATTTTAAGACTAACAGAATGGCTGCACTATGGAATGACATAACCTTCTTAACTGACAGACAGATGTGAGATCAGTCATGGCACTTTGAAAAGCATCAGATAGGAGAGAACCAAAACAAACAAACAACAACAACAACAGAAGCACAGCTGCATTTTGGTAGTTGTGTGTCCTGACTACCAGAATGTGCCTTTGCAGTTAGACATCCTTGAAGCTACAGATAAGTAGTTCTTGCTATATCAAAAACCAAAACACCAGGGCACTTCACCACACCTGTACCCTAGCAAAGGATCTCTGTCTGCAAAAGATCCCAGCTTCAATATTGCTATAATGAAGTAGTTCTGATAACACCACCTCCTCCTCCTCCTCTTTCTTCCCTTCCTCCTTCACCTTCCTTCTGTCCCCACCCCTTCAACCCACTGGTATCATGGATATTTCTAGAGGATCATGGGAAGAAATACCATAAAAAGGAAATCTGACCCACCAAGCTTTGGGAGGAAAAGCAGGTCACCTTACCCCATGAAGATGCTACCCACCTCTAATGTCTTAAAAATCCACAACAGAGAACACTTTGGACTTCTGGCCATAGACACACACCCTCAAACAGCCCACTTCAGTCTCTCTTTGGAAGGCTTGCTTTGCATTGCTAAATAAACTACTGCTTAAACTCTGTGTCTCTAGACTGAAGTCTTTCCTTCCACAAGACTGGAAGCTAAAAGCCAACCCCGTAACAGCTGCACACTGCTTTCACCGTAATCAGCTACTTGCAGTACCCATGCTTCTCATGACACTGAGTGTTTGGACATGCAGTCTTGCCTCCTGGGTGGACGTCTCTGCCCTTTACTGTACCAACAACTACTTCTACTTTAGGGTGCCCAGGAGTAGCTCCTTCAAGAATCCTTCCTGTTTTCTCCCTCTTTCCCTAGATGGTTGCTAAGCAAAATCGACTTCAGAAATAAACATCCATACTATATCAATATTGCAAATGTATTTGTCTTCCTTCTTGAATGAAGTTTTCTAACAGTTGTGTCATAGTAGGCACTTAGCTGCTTAAGTTAGTAAAAGAAAACAAGTTTGTCAGTAGCACCCCAGGCTTTGGAACGCAGAAACTCGTGCACATAGTCCAATATCAAAGGGCCTTGGCCACAGAGATGTGTGTCACATGAACTGACCCAAAAAACCAAACAATGTAGAAATAATTGTGCAAAAGACAATACAGCCACAGCTGAAACAGTTCAGAGACATTTAAGTTATGCCCACAGACTGAGCTCATGGGGTACCTTGCTCACTGCACAAGCATTGGACAATAATTTCAGAGCCACACCACTCACCTGAAACGCCAAGTGTGGCAGTGCACATCTATAACCCCAGCACTGGGGAGCCAAGGCAGGCAGATTTCTGGAACTCAATGACCAGTCAGTCTAACCAAAATGGTTGCAGACTCAATGAGAAAAAAAAAAGAATGCCTTTAAAAAATGGAAAAGCAGCCGGGCGGTGGTGGCGCACGCCTTTAATCCCAGCACTCGGGAGGCAGAGCCAGGTGGATCGCTGTGTGTTCGAGGCCAGCCTGGGCTACCAAGTGAGCTCCAGGAAAGGCGCAAAACTACGCAGAGAAACCCTGTCTCGAAAAAAAAAAACAAAAAAAACAAAAAACAAAAAATGGAAAAGCAACTAAAGAAGACATTCAGAAATCAATCCCTGTCCTCCATATGCACCTACACAGGTGAATGCACCCTCACACTCAGGTTCACACACACACACACACACACACACACACACACACACACACACACACACCACATACACACCAAAAAAAGTAAAAGGAAGCAGCGCTTTCAAAGAAGTCATAACTCTTTAAAAGATGATAACAAATAAGCAAAAAGAAACATTGTATTCAGTATGGTCTATCGTTTGTGAAAATGTCAAACACGTATACTAAAATGTTAAGAGTACTTCATTCAAAGAGGCAGCAGTATGGGTTTCTTGGGTGAGCTTTTTGTTGTTTTTGTTGGTGGTGGCTTTTTGTTTGTTTGTTTTTGTATTGGTCTGATGATGGAGATCAAAAGTTTAACATGAATAGGATCAAGCTCAACATAATGGGTTTCTTTTGTTTTTGTTGATTTGTTTTTACTCTAACTTTTAGATATGTTTAGTTTAGTTATTATGGAGGACAGGAATACACATGTGAGTGAAGGGCCCATGTCAGATCCCCTAGAGCTGGTATTACCGATGTTTGTGAGTCACAAGAAGTGGATGCTGGGAACCAAACTCAGGTCCTCTGTCATTCATTCATTCTTCATTCATTCATTCAGGAGAACTAGAAATCAAACCCAGACCCTTTCATTTACCAGACAAGTATTCTACCACTGAGTTAGACCCTAGCCCAAGAATGTAAAAAAAAAATTTTCCCCAAGTTGGACATGGCTGTCGATACCTATAACCCCAGAATTTGAGGGATAGAGACAGGAGCATCAGGAATTCAGGATCGTTGTCCCCTACATAGTGAGTTTAAAGAACCTAGTCTTTAAAGGCCAACAAATAAATAATACCTTCTTAATTTATAAAATATGCAAGAAAAGTGTCTTAATTGTAAAAGAGAAAGTCTCTAATGAAGAAGAAACAATAAACATGTTTGTTCATATTCCACTAAAGTCCATTGGCCAAAACAGCCTGCAGACTAAAACAGAGGCTGAGAGTTTCCTCTCAGTAGACATGACACATGAAGAAGATGAATAATACAAATAGTGTCAGCACAGTTAGGGGCTGGAGAGATGGCTCAGCGGTTAAGAGCACTAACTGTTCTTCCAGAGGTCCTGAGTTCAATTCCCAGCAACCACGTGGTGGCTCACAACCATCTGTAATGAGATCTGGTGCCCTCTTCTGGCCTGCAGGGATACATGCTGTATACATAATAAATAAATCTTTAAAAAAAAAAAAAGTCAGTACAGTTAGACAGCAAATCAGGCAATTAAAAATAATGCTTTTAGTAAGAATAAAGTCAATTTTGATTACTACGACTGTTTTCAGGCTAAGATTCCAGTACATATTTTCAAAGACAGTGTATTTTATAGCCTGTCACAATTCTGACAGCTTCCAAAATTAAATCTACAGGACTGCCTTGGGTACCTTTGTGAAGGCACCTAGAGCTTCCAGAATTAAATCTACAGGGCTGCCTTAGGCATATTTGTGAAGGCAAATGGCACCCTGGAGCTGTGTCATTAGACACAATCACATCCATCAAAAGCAGCTCATAACCTGGGCAGTTACAGGAAAATATCTACAAGGTTTTTCTCTGTGTTAAAATCCATTTTGTGGCAGGGTGGTGGTGGCACACGCCTTTAATCTAAGTGCTTGGGAAGCAGAGGCAGGCGGATCTCTGTAAGTTCAAGGCCAGCGTAGTCTACAGAGCGAGTTCCAGGACAGCCAGAGCTACACAGAGAAACACTGTCTTGGGGGAAAAAATTCCGTTTTGTCAAAACTGCAGTTGTTTTTACAGCTTTCAGAGATGAAGTACCTGGGTAACAATGAATTCTGCTGTTTTTATTACTAGTAAATTTTTCTTTATTAATTCGGTGAACTTAATTATATAACATCTTTCTGAACTTTCATGTACAACCTTAAATGTCTAGATTTTGATAATTTTACAGCAATTCCCTTCTGTATCAGGACACTAGTTTGGAAATCCTACCCATCTCATTACTAATATTGTTTTGAGAGAAAAAAAAACTGAACAAGAGGCTCAGTCAACTGGTTTTGTGGCACTACTAAAACAATGTAAGCCTGCTGTCCGCTCTAGGGCGATCTTGCACTTAAAGATGTGTTCATCCTTCAATTGACCTTATAAAGTTGAGTTATAAAAGATTAAACTATTTAAAAATAGAGGGTATGTGTATGGAAACACTCTTGGTTCCATTCAAAAACCACTGAACGCCGACTTTATGCTAACATTTTATTAAAACTGTTTGCAACTAGATCCCAAGCTTTGGGACAATCAAGGGCTTTTTTTTTTCCTATCCCCGAAGTTCACAACACTTGTGTGAGTAGCATAAATGGGAAGCTGTGTTCCAGCACTAATATTCAAGTCTCCTTAAACGCAGGAAGGTCTGCTCAGAGCAGCTGGGAAAAGCAGATGTTGACTCGCACCCGCCTGAGCGAAGGGAGAACGGGAACGGTCGCAGAAGGGTTTTGTTTTGGGATTTTCGTTTGTTTGTTTGTTTTTGTCTTTCTTTCGCTACTTGACGCACTCCAACACCCGGGTAGAACCGGTCTTTTCCAGCCTCAGCTTCTCCCCGGAGCCCGGAGCCACACCCACCCTCCGAGTCCCCTCCGCTGGGCTGGTCCCAGCCGCAGCTTCCCAAACCCGGAAGTTACACGTGGCAGTGGTCTTGCGCAACTTCCGGCGGGGCTTCCTTCGGAAACTGACGCGGAAGTGCAGGGGAGCGCCGGCTGGTTGTGGCTCCCTTCCATGCCCTC